CTGCAGCAGGATATAAAGCATTCGTCTCTTTCAGTAAGCCATCTAGAACACAGAGCTGGAGGCCATGGCTTGTGCCGAGATGAGAAATTCCCTCTGCCCATAAATTCCAACGGAGAAATGACTGCCAATGCTATAGGCTCCAAATTTCAATCTGCCTCACTTTGAGCTGGCAATCTTGAGCAATCTTACTTTTTTCACCTCTTTCCTTTTTCCAAGATGGAGCATTTCAATTTCCACAGAGGCCCAGGAGATGGTGTGAAATCCTTGATCTTTTTATATGTAATCTCCTAATCTGTTTCAATCCCTTGGTTATGTAAATAAAGAAGATGACGCAATCCGATGATAACCTGAAGCCTTTGTAAAAGGCAGGTAGTTGTCTCTCACAGAGTTTCCACTGAGTCATGATTAATGTCCTATGAAATATTGAAAGTTGACCGAAGAGGATTAGGTAGAGTAGCCTAAAGCCATACTCAAGTAAAAGAATTGTTAATTCTGTAAAATAATGACTCAAGTAGAAGTTGAGTTTTTAAAAAATAACTGGGGCAGAAGTACAAAAGTAGCAGATCAAAAAACTACTTAAGTACTGAGTAACTTACAGAACTGCTTAGAACTTCAATTGCTGTTGGCATAGGAACTAAAATATGTTAGGCTCCATTCTTCTCTTTTGTTCAGTCAAAAATAAAAAGACAAACTTCAGAAGTCAAAGCTTCGACCAATCACAAAGTGGGATAGATGCGGTCACGAACGTAATAATGAAATTAATTAGAAAAAAGAATTAGTAACTAAATGTTAACGACTGATGCAACTTTTTTCATAATATACTTGCATAGAAGGACAGTACTATGCGAAAGTGCAAGACCACCCTCCATTTATTTAATTTCCGTTCAAAATGGCCTTTAAATACAAATTAGTAATTTTTCAGCATCTGAAAAAAAATCTGAAAAAAACATACGTGTAGCAGAAACCTACACAGAAGCCTTAAACTAAATATAATATCAGTTTTTCAGTATTTAGTGTGTTTTGCTTTCAGTTTTTCAAATGAAATCTGCAGAGATATTTTTCTATACCTCCAAAGTTCAGTCGTTGGTTGTATTTTCTGTTTTTCATGATTCAAATAATCTCAAACACATTCAGTGAGCTCAGTGTTGAGGTCTTTAATAGTTGTTAGAACCCCAGTTTTGGAGACTCCTGGCTTTTCACTTATTTTCCTTTGACTTTCTCCTTATATTAGTGGATTATCTTATATCTAATCTCCTCTGAAATATCTCCTAAACAATTAATGACCATTAATAAATTAATTAATGACTTTATGAGCATTTTTACTAGAAATTAAATGAATGGTGGTCTCTGACTTTTGTACAGTACTGCATTATCATTTGAAAATACTCAAGAAAGTACAAATCCATCAGAATTTTATTAGAGTAAAACAGCACATATAACAGTAAATTGAAGTAGTTACTACCCTCCCTTGATTATATGATAGTGTAGTATTTATAATGTCTGATGGAATGTGGGTTTTTCAGTGTAGTTTAGAGTAGCTTAACCAGTTTCTCTCTCCCTCCTCCTCCTCCTCTCTGTCTCTCTCTCTATTGTGAGCTGTGTACTCTGTAGACATAATGATGAGGCCAAAAATTTGCCTTTGGCGTAAAGGGAAAAAGCATGTCTCTAAAAAGGGGCTGTATCCTTATTGTAATAAGGGTTACCTTTGTGTCAGCAAGCCAGCTGCACTATATCATAAAATCATACCCACTAATGTCAGTCATCTTTTATCTTAGCCTGTTATAATCGGTCTGCTGTCATAGTTTATAATGTATAGAATTTCAAACGGAGAAGGATGTGATGCTGTTCTGTTTCCTTGTTGCACCACGTAAGCAGCCATTTTACTTTAAATACCCCTCATGACCTCACCTTTTGTTCTCTCAGTTGACTCACAGTCTTTACCCTGTTTTTGACAAAACCAAGAACATTCTGCTTGGTTTAGTATTCACAAAGAGTCATTCTGGGGCGTCTGAAGGGCACTCCAGGACTGTATAGAATGGAAAGTGTTGAATGGCCAGTGCTGTTTAATGGCCGGTGTAACGCGCCATGCATCTGGCAGCAGATGAGGAAGTGCCCAGCTGCTGCAGTAATCCTTCTGTGATAACCAGCCCATGCTACAGCCAGACAGGTGTCTTGAAGTACATGCTTTAGGAGTCTAATCATCACTTTAGCCACCATATTAGACCTTTTCTAGAATATTCTGGTCCTGAGCAATCTGGGAACTTCAGATTGTGGAGTTTATTTTGACTTGGCCTTCGTCATTTATATTCACCACTAGCAGTGGGAGGAGCATTCTTAAAAAAAAGAGGTCAACAAATAGTTGTAAAGAATGTGTTTTTTTATGTAATGTAAAGGTTATTTACCTATTTAAGGGCTCCTCCTAGAACCTTTAAATTGTGTGGAATTATGTGGAAAAGTTTCTTCATACTGCATTTACAAAAACAACTCTCTGAAGAACCATTAATATTTAAATGTTTCTTAGGGAATCAAAAGTGATTTTTCAGTGGCATCACACAAAATGCTTTTTAGCAGCTTTATGTTTAAGAGGGCCTATCAGTGTAAAAGTGAACACTGATATGTCATTGTCCTATGATATGGATTTTACCACAACGCAGATACTTTAATAAGCCCCAACGCAGCGTATCATACACAGCCCTGCCTCCAAAGTAAACAACATGAGCTTGAATAACTTAAATAGTTCCTATGAACTCAACAAAGCAGTGTAAACTGTATCTTATGCTTTTTTGTTGAGTTTACAGCCTGTTTGCAAGTGGGAGGAGACTTCCTTATGAACTAATCATTATACTGTTGTTATTATTCTTGTTGTTGCTGTTATTGTTCATGTTTTGCATACTGTAATACTTAGGGCTGGCATTTCACATGCTTCGAATACACAGTATTTCCAAAAGAGTACTCGAATACTCAGCCTTATAATCACCCTTAAAAAGAGAGCTGATATTCCTGCCTGAAGAGGTCACATGACCGGGTTTAGTCAGAGACAGTTTGGATTGGATGCATGGCAGTACTCCAAATGTATTAATTTTAAATAATAAATAATAGGCATGTGCATTCACACTCATTTTGATATTTGAGTATCCATAAGAGTTCATGAATGGATATTTGGTTAACCGTAGAGAAGGGGGAAAAAACAACGGCAAACAGAAAAAAATGGATTTTGGCTGAAATTAATACAGAGCTGTGACTTACATTTTTAGGTGACAATACTGGTGTTGTACAAATGTTTAACATCTACAGAGGAATATGTTGTGGAGTGGCAAAATATAACATAACATACATGCTCACAAATATGAGCAAAACGTTTACATTAAGTGTTCTTTTACAGCATAAAACAGATTTGTTGTTTTCTTTGTCTTCTCACATAACGAATACCAGAATGGTGTTTTCAGTATTAAAATACTAGCACCTCGAATGGTTAACTGAGTACTTGAGAACATGTGCACATCCGTACTAAATAGATAATTGAATACCAACATAACAAAGAAATACTCAAGTATTGAAATGATTTGTACTAGTGAAAATATCATTATTGTCTGATGGGTAGAAAATATTGTGGTACACATATTGCCCAGACCTCTTCACCATCCTCTGACCTTGAACTTTAAATGGGTAGCCTTGACTTTAAAAAGGGGTGCATTATCCTGCACCTCATTATGATTCTTTAGGAAATGTTTCAGTACATCACAAATTCTCAAATGTTGCCCAATTTGATTTTATTTGATTTGGTTTTTTTTGCTTGGTTTTTTAAAAAATACACATAATACACAAATGTGACTGGATGAACTATTTACACAGTAGTGCAGTACAGACAAGAAGAACAATAGACCAAGATTTTTTCCTAGAGTTTTTATTTTAAAAAAAGCCTGAGAATTTTATTTTGAAAAAATAACAAAAAACTGAGCCCATACATTATTATATTACATTAATCAGTTGAATATTATTTTAATCAGTTGATACTAGCACTCCAGAACCAATTCATTTTATACCTCCTGAAAACAAAATAAAGTACTGAATCATCCAAAAATTGTCATTATGGCAAAAATGTCTTGAATGTGAATTCAGAATTTAGTTCAGGATGCAGATCTAAATGTACGAAATGAGGAAATCTTGTAGCAGGAGCTTTCTTTCTCTTTCTCTCTTTCTGTTCATCAGGAAGGAGTGAAGAAAGAAGGGAGAAAAAGAGCAGTGTGTCCTTGCTCTATTAGAAAGACACTTTCCCAGACTAACCCATCAATTATTTACCAGTCATTTGGCCATAAAGAGCAGAAGAAATGGCAAAGCCTGCAGGTAGAGGAAAGGTCAGCGCATCTGCACCGATTCTCACTCAATAACCACGTATTGATAGCACCGCTTATTGGGCTGGACGCGGTGGGGAACTATCCGGAATGTCACAGACACGTGTTTGTCTCTCACCACTTGGAAGAGTCCAGCCATGACCGCTACCTGACAGTTTGATATGTCAGAGCCATATGTCAAATCAATACCGGACATATTTTTTCCATCCCAGTCTTCCCTCTAAGCCCGAAAATAATGTTACTGAAAGGTTAGATGCATTGGGTGGGGGTTGTCCTCTTGATTTCTAGCTTGGAGCTATGTGGATTGTGTGGTCACAATGCTTCTATCGAGGCTGCTTATGCACTGACGCAATGGTGGTCACTGTTTTGCTTCAGCTGCAGTAAGGCTGAAGGGAAGTCTTAGCTTACTTAATGAATAGCATGTCACTGAGATGTTCAGCTCCAGTGAGCACTAAATGATCAAGCCACCTGACATCCCTGTCCGAATACACATGCTATTCTTACCACAACACTTTAATTGTACAGACATATATGCAACATTTTTGTCACTTTTACCAAGACTTAGTAGCCTCTTGGCTGGTTATTTATCAAATGTATGTTATGAAAGACACCTGTGCTCAAAAGATGCCCTCTTCTGTCTCTTCTCAGCTCCACTATCCAGCTGTCCAGATGGGGTGCAGATGCTGTAGGATGATAAAAAGGTAAGTCTGAACAAACAGAATTACTGATGGTCACTTCAGGCCAGTGACAAAACCTCTCTGTATCCTGCTGGATTTTGTAAATGTCAAGTCTGTCAGAGAGTTGGGTGGAGGAGAAAAAGGTGGTTTTGAAACACCGATGATTCAAAATTTGCAGTTTGAAATTGTAGTTTTTTTTTGTTTGATTTTGAATTGATTTGTATTATTTGTTCTTTGCTTGCAGTAACAGTGGTTAGAGTTTTCCTTCGTTTTCTTGTTTGTATGTCATTTTAAAACAGCTGTCAAAATCCTGTGTGTTTAGTTTTCTTGAAAGGACTTTTCTCTCATTCATTTGAAAGGAGGAATATTTAAAGATTTGATATGACTGCACACAAGCAGGTTTACAGCACATTGGCTTGTTGTTCAAGATCTAGTTGCAATAAAAGGGGATAAAATTGGATTCTTTTATGTACCAACTGACCACACTATTCATCAGAAAAAGATTGTCATAAATTGGTTGCAAAAATTATATGAAAGTCACTATTCAATGTTGCTATGCGGTTGTCTGCTATGCGGTTATTATTAAACACATCAGTGCAAAAAAAGAAATACTACTGTTCACTCTTGAGCCCTGTTTTTTTTTGTTTTTTTTAATTTAACCCGATTTTCTCCCCTATTTAGTCATCCAGTCCCACCCGCTAGTGGGGGGGGTGGGGGTGGACAGCCATCCCACCCACCCAGAGAGCGTGAGGCCAGTTGTGCTCTCTCGGACTCCCAGCTACGGATGGCTGTAGCATCACCAGGGATCGAACTCGCGATCTCCTGATGATAGGGCCAACGCTAAGATGGTTGCGCCTTAAGCCCTGTTTGAGCCAAATCAATTTAACCTTGGGAGGTGCTGTTTAATATAATAATTCCAGAGTGAATGACCTTCCATAGTTCTCTGAACCAGAAGCTCCTTCAGTCCTAACTAAATTGACCTAATGTAATGTAAAAAGAAAATGTGCCAGTAGATGTAGCCATATTGTTATTGTTATTGAGTGTTGTGGCTGCTGCTTAACACTGATGTAGGTTTCTGGGCTATGAAGTTTCAGTTTCATAGATACTTAATCACGTACGCATCGGGCACTAAAAACCTGACAAATGACATGACATTATCTCCTCTGGTAAAACTAATCCAGCTTTAAATTTGCTTAGTGTATATTAGTGTGCATCACTTTAATGAATTTAGCCAAGCCGGTGTTAACTGTGTCTGTAGCGTCTTATTCTGCTACTGTGTAAGTGGTATGAACTGTGTAGTTTCATTGTTTATGAAGCACTGTGGAAAGTATGCATAATGCAGAGGACACACACACGTACACGCTGAAACTGCCACCTAATTACTCAAGAGTGTCAAATGTCTGGGCTTAGCTTTAGCTGCCTCAATAGATCGGCTCATGTGCAAATACCGCACAAACGTGTGAGCAGACACACACACTTAACCAAAGAAAAACGTTGTTCCTCTGTATTTAATCATTCCCCTCCTTTATTCATGACCATATTAAATGCGTCTTCATTTTCTCATAGCAACAGTATTTCATGCACTGAGTGTAAATTAATGGCTTGCTTTGTGGCTGTTACAGTGTTTACATATTGTGTCAGCAACACAGTCCACTGTAGTTCTATAGATCCCTTTAATCTGCAGGGTTCAGGCCTGTGTGCTGTATACAGGGAGATCATCTAATTATTTTCAGGCTGTCCTGAAGTGAAAATCCACAAATCTCTCTCTCTTCACAATTACCGAAGAAAATGAAAGCTTGGGTCTCTTTAAATACACAGGACTCATTTTCCTCTCAACTTTGACTGGCCACATTAGTCTGAGTGTCATTACTAAGTTTGCCATCTAGCTCTTATTGGGAGTCTTTATGAAACATTTGTACTGCCTGTGTGTTGGTCATTAGCTCATATTTTAGTGCCCTGAACAAAAAATAAATGTTTGCAAGTCAAAGCAGCACTGAGTGACAAAGACAGTTGATGCAAGAGACATTAGACTAGGATATGTACTGTTTTAATACATGTCAGTTACACTGTATCGACAAAAGTATTGGGACACCTACATATTATACCTACAGGAGCTTTTATGACATCCCATTCTAAATCCATAGTCCCTTTTTCTCAGCTCCACTCTTCTGGGAAGCTCTCTACAAGATTTTGGAGTGTCTGTGGGAATTTTTGCCCATTCATCCAGAAGAGCATTTGTGATGTCAGTGACTGATGTTGGACGAGAGGGCCTGGCTCACAATCTCTGTACTAGTTTATCCCAAAGGTGTTTGATGGGGTTGAGGTCAGGACCCAGGACCCACTGCGCGCCAGTCAAGTTCTTCCACAACAAACTCACCCAGCCATGCCTTTATGGAGTTGCTTTGTGCCCTGGGGCTCAGTCATGCTGGAACAGAAAAGGGTCTTCCACAAACTCTTCCCACAAAGTTGGAAGCATACAATTGTCCAAAATGTCTTGGTCTGCTAAGGCATTAAGATTTCCCTTCACTGGAACTAAGGGGCCTAGACCAACCCCTGAAAAACAACCCCATAGCATTATCCCTCATCTACCAAACTTTACAGTTGGCACAGTGCAGTCAGGCAGGTAATGTTCTCCTGGCATTCGCCAAACCCAGACTCGTCCATCAGACTGCCAGATAGAGAAGCATAATTCGTCACTTAACAGAAACAGAAACAAGCTACGAGGCTAACAAGGGTTGGAAGCGTACAGCCCCCAATTTATCTTCATGCAAAGCATATGCCTAAAGCATTTATCATCTAAAACTGTGTTGAGTTGATAAGTAATCACAAGTATATTTTCTTGCAAAAGATTGGGCACCCATGGTCAAATTACATGTTTTGTTGATTTTCTAAGTGAAAATGTTACACATCCTCTGCAAAAAGGCACTTCTGTACATTTTAATGGACAATTTCTGCTAAATTTAACATATTGGTGGAAAAAAAACATAAAATGTGTCCTTTGCAAAAGTTATGGGACATTTTATATTTAGTTTTTTTTTTTCCAGTATGTTAAACTCAGCAATAAATAGAAATTGTACACTAACATTTGCACACGTTTGCCCCCTGTAGAGGATGTGTTAATTACTTTTACAGAAAATCAATCAACAAAACATCATTTGATCAGAGGTGTTCAAACTTTAGCATATGACTGCAGGTCCTTGCTTATAAAATACACAAAATATTGGCTTAAATTGGCTATTACTACTATTTTGAGCTGTGTAGCATTTTTTTGTCTGTTTTACATAACAAACAAGCAACACATAAACAAGCCTATTTGAGATTACTAAACAATGCAACACAGATTAAGGGAAGTGTGAGATGATTTAGGCAAGCAGTTTGCACAACACTAAACTGGTGTCTATAAGCTTCCATTACTTTCAAAACTAGTGATACGAACTTCGGAGACCAAACACGTCTGACTAACTTAATTTGTGATTAAGCGGGTGATTAAATTGTATACATTAGATTTTTGATAAAACCACAGACACACTTATAGTACAGATTATATACAGGCCCACTATACAATGATATAAAGACATATAGAAATATAGACAGAAACAACCATAATACAAACAAACAGGCATGTATGCTAATGTGGAGATCAACAGATTGACATTGGCCAAGTTCAGTGTCTTCACTCTCCTGGTGAGGCTTGCTGTGCCTAGCACTGTGGGTACTCTCTCTCTCTGTCTCCTTCTCCCTCTCCTTCTCTCTCTCTTTCTCCCCCGGGTGGTCGTGCGGGCTTTCGGTTGGTAGAGGGTGTGAAGGGCAGAAGGAGCTCCGCAGGAAATGTCTGACAGCCCTCACCACCATCCATAAATACACCAGCCCCCCGCTGCAACACATACACACACACACACCCCCCTGTGCTGGGGACCTGTACTGTTTTCCTCGCATCTCAGCCCTCATGACCCAAACTGCCTGTTAACAGGTGGGTTTCTGTGCTAGTCAGGCATGTGGGTTGTTGCATATTCCTTATTAGAGGATAAAAATACTTTGTGAGGCTTTTGAGATGTAAAGGTCATTGTGAACATAGTTACAGCAAAGACTAAAAAAACATATGTATTCATAGACCTGCAGATCACGATTGTAAGCTCATTGCACAGAGCACTAGTGCGTCAGAAAATGTGTAATGCAAACATGACTAATGCAAATTTTGTGTGCAGTCAAATCTACTGGCTTGACATATCAAGTCGTAAAAGAGGCAAATAGCCAGCTTTTTGTTTGCAGTAACAATGGTTAGTCTCTCTCTCTTTCTCTCTCTCTCGCTCTCAACTAATTAGGGGTGTTGTAACTGATTAGGGCTATAAAAATGCATTCATGAATCACCACAATTCCATCGGTTTTGGAATATTATGATTGATTATAATTAATTATAATAATATTATATTATGTAAACAGTACTAATTAAAATAGTGATATTTTCAAATGTAAACATCCAAAAACGACTTGGTGTACTCTATTTATTGTCAGTACTGCCCATTATGTATAGTTCCTTCAGGCAAGTTAGTGTATTTATTTAAACAATATTTATTTAAAAATACCAAATACCAAAACAGTTAAATCAAATTGAAATCAGAGGTTTCATGATACATTAAATAATTTCCGAAAGAGAATGATTGTGAGTCAGACATGTTCATCCCTGCAGTTAATAGATTATCATTGAACAAGACAAACTTGGCTGCTAACATCATTTTATCACCAAGCTGTATCAGAGTTTTACCTTGTGTTGTTTTATGTTGGTCAGGACCTGCACACAGGATTAAACTTTTATTACACACTTCTAAACTTAAGGATAACTCAGCTAGTTTGCATTGTAGTCCATGTAGTTATTGAATAATAAGCCTTTGGAAGTAAAAAGCCTGGGATTTAAAGGGCTAATCATCTCTCTTACTCTCTTGCAGTTACATCTATGACCCCTCGGTGCCTGTAGATGGCCAAGGGCTCAAGCAGGACCCGTCCAATAACTCCTTGGTACCTCCTTACCAATGTCACACACTGCCGGACGAGGTCAACCACAAAAAACAAGGTTTCCACAACCTGGGCTTCACCAGCAACACCAGCCCCACCAAACTTGACATTGACAACAACCACATCAACCGACTCCATGTTAACAACCAGGCTAGATCCAGCCTACCTCAGGCAACAGGGGGCGACTCTACCCTCTATATTCTGCAGCCTGAGGCAGAAAGAACCCCCATAAGAACAACTTCTACTGTTCCCAGTGCCCCTCCCATATACAGCATCCCAATGCTGGGAACAGAGCCTGGTAAACGAACGGAAAGGTTCAGAGACTCTGGCCTAGGGAACGGAGGGATGACGGATGGAATCGATGGGTCGGATGGATACTTGTGCGGACAGGAGGAGGAAGAAGAAGACAAACGGAGACAGAAGACAGCTGTAACTTCAGAATATGTTGGGGACACAGCCGATGAAGAGAGTGTGATCTCAGTGGACATTCACACTAGCAGCACCAGCCTCTCCTCAGCTGACACCAAGCTTGTGGTGGAGGACACTGTAGAGGAAGATTTGTCGCTTTCCAGGAGAGAGGGAGTGACAGAGAAAGAAACAGAGGATTGTATAAGTGTCACAGACTCTATGGTGGCCGAAGCACTTGCTGCCTTGGAGGCGGCCACTGCAGGAGAAGAGTATGACTGAGAACTGACTAATGGTCGTGGAGCCTGAAGTTGACAGAAATTATATATTGCTCATCAAGCTTTCATCTGAATGCTGGACATAGCCAAAATGATATTTTTCATGATAAAACATTTTTTTGATGGCTAAATATGAACAACACTTCTAAACTTGACAAATTGCCTGCTATTTGTTTACAAGAAGATGTGGATTTCTTATAAGATGGATTATATTTTGCCAAGTAACTAGCATGGAGTGTATTTTCAGTGCATACACTGGACTGTTGCTTTGTAAACTTGCTATATATATCTGCATTTTTTATAGTCTATACTACTACAATAGGCCTTACCTTTTCCAGTTTAGTTGTAGACAAGTCCCAATATTCTCTGCTTTTGCACAATGATACTACCTGACTAGCAGGACACTCATGTCTGCTCCAATGCATATGAAGGCTTTTCAAACCACTATTCACTGCTATGCACTTAACCACGCTTAGAGGAGAATGCTAAGCATTCAACTACAGCATGTGGACATGCACATGACCAAAGGGCTAGTCTGTCCTTCTCAGAATGTGACCAGTTATGTCAAACTTGGGTGCTTCTTAGGTGTGCCTTTCACCAGTGCACCACCAGAGAGAGCCTTATTCTCCAAGTAACATTACAAACTCAGCAATGTAAAGATGTCTGTGCTGTCTTGCCTTGTACTCTTAAATAATAATGGTGCTGCAAAGACTTCCTTGGAGCGATGCCATAGAAAAACTACCACTGGTTCCATTAAGAAACACTCCGCTGAAAGGTTCTTAGGGAACCAAAAGTGGTTCATCTATGGCAGAGGTCTTCAAATCCAGATCTTGAATCCTGCCTCCGGTCCCGAATTTTGTAATCACTCGTAGATATGACTCTAGGTGGCCAATCAGTTACATTGGTAGTTCAGTTAAGTTTCAGTAACTACAAAATCTAGGACAAAAAACTGGATTCAAGGTCCAAATCTGAAGACCTCTGTTCTGTTGTATTGCTTCAAAGAACCCTTTTGTTCACCTTTAGTGAACCATCCCTTCAACTTCACCAAAAAAAAAAAGTTTTTTTTTTCAAGGGTAAAGAGTAAAGAGAAGGGTTATATTTAGAACCATAAGTTCTATAAAGAACCATTTCATGCTTAAATGGTTCTTTGCATGGTGAAATCGTTTTTCATATTGATGGGGATTGTGTTGTATATATGCCCTGCGATGGACTGGCGAACTGTCCAGGGTGTATCCTGCCTTCCACCCAATGACTGCTGGGATAGGCCCAGGACCCCCCCGCGACCAAGAAGGATAAGTGGTTTAGAAAAAGTGTGTGTCTGTGTGTGTTGTATATGGTTCTAGAAATAGCCTTTTTGAAAATTATTCTATATAGCACCAATAGGGTTTTGCTATTGTTACAGTGTCAAGCTTATAACGATAAAACAATGCTTTTTGGTGCTGTACAGAACCATTTTTAAAAAGGTTCTATATAGAACCATATACAAACACGTTCTTCATCAGTATAAGAACGATTTCACCAAGCAAAAAAAAATCATTTAAGCATGAAATGGTACTATATAGAACTCATGGTTCTAAATATAACCATTCCCTTTACTGAAGAACCCTTGAAGAACATCTTTTTTGGATCTGACTGTTGACATTTGCCATGAATGTCAGAAAAGGCCTGGAGTGACCCCAGCTCGTCTGGGTTCTCTAGCTTTTTAAACTGCTGGAAGAAAACGAATGACCTGTTTGAAACGCACTCTGACCCTCTTCAGAGTGGAAAAGGCAGTACAAGGTTGATGCCTTGAATGTCTTGAATGTTTCTCTGGGAAAACTCTAGCAATGCCTGCCTTAAACACAGACCCTATCCTTTCACAACTGCCTGAAGTCACAGAGAGAGAGAGAGAGAGAGACTGCATCTACATTTCAATCATATTTTAATAAGAAAACTATAATCTGTGTTATTTATACTGCTAATTAGTGTACTGTTACTTGTGCATTTGATTTAGTTGGGCCAATGACAGTAGCTGACCTAAAGTACTTAGAGATTCAAAACTAAGGTTATCCAACTGAGGCCTGGCGAGTTTTCTGACTACTGCATCACTAAATGAAGGACTGATGAGTCTTTAACAGCACTGGATGTAAACATTGTGTTTCCACGTACATATATGGTCACTGTCGTAAGAAAACCTTTTATCTCTGAATCAGCAACTTTATAGGAAAACTATCTGTATGTAAACGTACTTGGAAACCACTTGAAAGACTGAATGTGGTTTTTGAGAGAACAATTTTTTATAAAGGAGATATGTAAGTATGAAGAACCCTTTTTAAAGAACCTCCATATAATGTAAAGGTTCTAGGAAAAACCATTAAATTGGTGATGATGAGAAGATTCCTTAAATCTTTAAAGTTCTTCACATTCACACATCTCTTTTTCAAACATGGTTTTTCACAGGGAACCAAAAGTAGTTGTTCTATGGCATCACTCAAGAACTCTGTGACCATTTTAAGGCTGTAGGTTTTCTTATGATTAAAATACAACACATAAACGTGAAAATATATTATCAGCTGTACTATTTTCTCAGATTCTCAAACGGTACTTTTGGAAAAAAAAATATGTTTTTGGAAGTTAATCTTTCATTCTGTCTTCATATTTTAACCCAAACCTTTTTTTTTTTTTAAAAAAAAGAAACAAACAGGAAATAAAAACTATGTAAAAAAAAGTATGTCTCTGCCCAAATGGCCACAGTTTTAGTTTTACTGCCTTGTGGTTGTATCATCTTTTTATTTGTCCTTTTCTAAATGTAGAACACTTCTTTCAGTTAATAAAAGGAGACAGTAAGAGGTAGGAATTTGTCACATGGATGACAGAAAAAATAAAACAATTGGCTGAGATCATAAGACTGGATATGTAATCTGCTATCATTAATATCTTTAATGAATATGCCGCAGGCCTTTTACAATGAGGGCAATGATAAGAACAGGCCCAAGTGTTCCGTCCTCTATGCTTGTTTGTTCAGACTTCATACGAAAGTGTGGCTTTGTATACACGGTGCACGAATGTGTGTAACATCTCTATGATGTGGCCCCATCGCCTAGTGCTGTTCTTTGAATGATAAAGAAGCTCTATGACAAGTTGCTCTACACTTTGCCTATTATTTTATTCTTTTACAGCACAGACATTTCAATGAATGTTATCTAGACACTTATTTTAAAATATCATTGTATATGGTCAAGGATGTCTTGAAAAATAAGAAACTGATGTCAAATTCAGTAAATAAAACTGTTGCAATGATGTCATTTGTGTGTGTGTGACAAGTGAGAAAAGACTATTGTGGAAGACAGTGCACTTTGGCTGCTTTAACTGATTTGAACACAACAGAAAATATGAAGTTATTAGCTTTATAGCATAATTCCACCTTATGCATAATACTCAGAACACTAACACTGGACACATCAAGGTAAAGGTTTGTAACTTCAAAGTAGATAATGAGCATAAAATTCCATGTATTTGGGTAACACTTTACATACAAAAACACCTTAAAAAGGCGAATTTTGGACACTACAAGAGTGGAATCACTGTTTAAAAGTTGTTTTCAATAGAAAACCAGTTTTGTTGCAGGAAATGTATAAAATGATTCTGTTAGTCTTGTGCAATGTCATGCAACTTCAAGGATTCAAATAGTGAGAAGCTATGAAGCTGTAAAATAAAACAATAAAAAAAACGAATGAATTATAAAAATCAATGATAAAAAATGTAAAAACAGCAAGAATGAAGTATAAAATAAAATAATTATCCAGAAAGCCTCATTTATCAAAATAGGAGACAAATCTCAAGGCAAACCTGACAAAAATACTGAAAAAAAATACTAAAAACTGAGAATGTCAGTATATAATTAATAATTTCGTTACTTCTTATTGACACTAAAATACTGGTGTCTAGTCTGTATTTTTTAAATATACATTATGTACGTTATTACAGATAATAACAAAGTTTTGGCCAACACTGATAGTGACATTATTCCTTTAAAAACTACGAAGTTATTAACTGAAGCACTTCCCTTAAGACGAGCATCTAAAAGTGGGCTATCATGCTGAAACTCCTCAAACCTCTCCACTACCCCACAGGAAGCAAGACACAGCTAACAACAACTTCGTCACATTACACAATCTGAGTGTGTGATATTTCACACTAGATTTATTAAAGAACTGAATCAGATTAATTATTGTTCCCCCTCTGATCTCCTGATCCAGCATATCTGCTGATATTCGCCTGATTCTATAGCCATTCATCTGCCACCATTAGTTGTTATTGCATATAACAAAAGTTGTGATTAACAAAAACTGTGGAAAAAGTGATTCCAAACTTCTGAACAGTGGTGTACACTGTGTCTTAATGCAGACTATAAAAGCGAATGAGAGATTGCTGTGTAAATGCCCAATTTGAATTATGGTTGTGGCACTATAAAAATGTCGAAATGTGATACTCTATTACACCTATTTTTACTTTCATACAAGTCATTAATTAATTGTGCTAATGTATGCGAAACTCTTCGGATGTGTGCTGTTAATGTCAGAATGAGTGAAGTGTCTCTTCCAGGTCCATGTGGGAGGGAGTTAATAATTCACAGGTCCTAAAATACTCCGAACTAATAATACATTACAGTCCGTTAACCATTCATGAGCTGCTCATATGCAAACTCCACACATGAATTAGTTACTTTAAACTTTTGGTCAGTGAGTAATGTGAACTGATATTGTTTTCATGGAAGTTCTACAGTAAATAACAAAAAGTGCATGCATATGCAATGGGAAGTTTATATATATAAAGAATAAGAGGAACAGAGTCAATAAAAATACCCATCCTAAATGCACAAATGTATACGTTTGTGGTCACTAGCCTTTTTCTGTTGAGAGCCAGTGGACGCACATTCCCTGAAGTCCAAAAATAGAGGGTTAATGGTTTGGAGAAGAAAGCCATTTGGTGTTTGAGTTTTGGGAATGAGCCAGTTTCCAAGGTCATCTGCACCACTCTGATGACCTATTAACAGACAGCTGTCATTTATTACCCAAAGTGCCCAGTCGATTAACCTGCTGGACCAGCATTCCTGGTGCTCAAGAAGTAAATTACGGAAAAAAAACAGAGTTGGAATAGAAAGATTGTATCACACACCAAGTTAGCTTTTAATCTTTTTAATGTATAATTTTTTTGTGGATACAAAAATGTCCATTAAGACATAAAATATGTTGTTCTATAACATGGCCTCTTTTAAACAGTGTAAAACAACTTTATTAGTGTTCCAACATTCCATTACATTTGTTCATTCTTAAACACTTTGCATTTATTTAAACTGTTTAAAATTGTCATTAATCGTCCTAATATCAACGAATGAATGAATTCAGGAATATATCACCCCCCAAAAGCTAAAATGGCTATGAAAAATGATAAATACAGACCAGTTAACATGTTCTCATTGGTAATAATATATAGATATTGCTAAATGCCCCCCAGACAGTCATACTGACTAGGAACATTTTTTCTTGTTTGTTTTGGTGGGGGCAGAGTTGAAGAATTGCTTTAACTAAGTTCCAAATACCTGCTTTGGCACAAAATATCTGGATACAAGTCTTTCGTCACATAAATCCACATTACTCATAATATGCCATTGTACAAGACTGGGCATATCAAGGGTAAAACAGACTTTTGCAGCTGTTTAAATTAGATTATGAACATGAAACACTGAATTGTGTAATTTTTGGGTAACATTTTAACAACAAATTTACACTAAAAACAAGGCAAATCTTAATTTTCCTATACAGTTTATATAATAAATAATAAATGGTTTGGCAAATTTATTTTGGCTAAATAATAAGAACGCTTTCAACCTGTCAGCAGCTCAAGTAAGGCCACTGTTACTCTTTCTGAGGTTACAATTTATTTTAAAACACTCGTGTCTGAGTAACTACAGAATAGCAACAGACCTACTTACTATAGAATGTGGGTAGACATATTATTTGTGTTTGTATATTGTATTCATTAAGTCACTGTATTAGCACATGATAGATGTTTTACTCTGTGAGGGAACTTGATGAGCACATGATGGTGAATAAGCAGGACATGCAGGTTGTAAAGATGAGGGCAATGCAGTGCAGCCAATAAATGTAATGAATCTCATTTTTCAAAGGTGCTAGTGAAAGCAGGTAGATAGGCCACTTTGTGCTCAATGGTGATATTATACATAACATATTTTACATAATAATTTTCTTTGCAAAGCCTTTTAAATGTACATATATGCATATTTTTTCTATAATATACTCTTTTGGTTTTTCATAGGAGATGTTCAGAAAAATACGGAGTGCTAATCATGATTGGAACTATTCCTGTCCCAACAAGAGGATATTATTTCTCATAGATAGGTAGATAGAGAGATAGATAGATACTTAAGTTAGCTGGCTTTAGATGAAGGATCATGACACTTAACATACTTATTTTAAGGCAGAAAAAGTTTGTCCTACGAAGGCAAAAATGAAAAAGACAATGAAAATGAACACAAACATATGGCAGACAGGTGCAATGGCGATAGTCCATCTTATGGGTCCAAGACTGTGTCTGAGGTCTGATGTCTTTTTTTTGTGCTTTTTTTGTTCTTCACAGTAACCAAAAGGAAAAACATTTCAACTTCCTGGAAGTAACCCACTGAGTCAGATGATCGATAATTTGTTTGACCAGGGATTAAGAACTGACCCACTCCTGGTCATTAACAAGGATGAATTGACGCCAACCACGGTTAAAGATGACGCGCGAGTGTTTGTAAAGGGACTGTTGGCATGGCGATGGAATAAAACTACAATGAACTGTACACGTTCCTTATCATTTTCCAGATACACAAACACACCCTGGTGGCAGGAGAGTGGAATGTAATAGTGCAGTTCAGTTTAAAAGGCTTCTTCTTTTCCCCCCTCATTTCCACCATTTTACCTCTCTCTTGCACTCCTGATACTCATATCGTCCCAGAGTAGGTGACTCTGTCCCTCTCTGCTGCGACGTCTGTGTGATTTTTGGTATAAAACGCATTTAAAATTCTCAGTTTTCTGTACTTGAAGCAGATGCCATGGCTTCAGTCATGTCATTTTTTAACAGCCCCCTCCGCCTTAAGAAAGAAAACAGCAAATGATTACTCTAAAAGGTCACATATTACACAGATGTACTGTCTACAGGTAAGTCAAGACACATACACACATCCTTACTCATTCATTCGCCCACCCAAACACACACATTCTCATCCACACTCTTGCATACACTAAGCTGCCAGTTTAATACAAAAAACACCTGCACTGGCATTCAAAAGTTTGAAATGTTTTCAACAATATAAAAGCACATTTGTTGCAGACCAGTGTCTCTTTTGCAACCTCAGAACTAGGAAGCTATAAATAAATATTAAGACATTTTTGGTGTGTCCTAAATGCTGAAGATTTTAAAATTACTGTGAAAGCTGTATAACATCAAGAATTAAGTTATAATAAAATGAACATAGAGAATTTTTCACACATAGAAAAGTGAAGATCAAATCTCGGGCAAACAATTAATGCAAATACACTTACGAGCCAAAACATTATGACCTAATAGGCTGTTGATCCTTCAACCAAAATGGCTCCGAGCCGCTGAGGCATGGACTCTACAAGACCTCTGAAGGTGCCTTGAGGTATCTGGCACCAAGACGTTAGCAGCAGATCCTTTGAGTCTTGTAAGTTGTGAGGTGCCACCACCAGCGATCAGACTTGTTTCAGCACAGATGCTGGATTGGACTGAGATTGAGAATGTGGAGGCCAGGGTAACACTATGAACTCTTCGTCATGTTTCTCAAACCATTTCCTAACAATATGTGCAGTGTGGCAGGGTGCATAATGAAAGAGGTCACTGCTGAGAGAGGCCACCACCTCACACATTGTCCAGAGCCCCACACACCCTTCAGTGGGTTGTCTTCTTCCCACAGTCCATCCTGGCGCCATCACTTCCTCAGATGAACGCTGCACACGTACCTGGCTGTCCACTTGAGGTAAAAGAAAACTGGACTCATCGGACCTGGCAACCTGCTTCCACTTGCTGTTTCAGAGAACCTCAAACCCAGTCTAACCATAATGATTTGGCCCTTGTCAAAGTCGCTCAGGTCTTCACAGCTGCCCATTTCTCCCACATCCAACATGCAGACTATGAGGACCGACTATTCGCATACATGTATAACATACACCTGACCTTGACATGTGCTGTTGTTACGAAATAATCAATGTTATTTGCTGGTCATAATGTTTTGCTTATCAGTGCAGATAATTACAGCATATTATTTATCAGTCAATACCATCCTATTCACAGATTTCTTGAAATACTGAAAAAAATATCTAAAATTTAAAAAAAAGTTTTGTGCATGCTGCTGAAGGCCTGAGTAGGCTCGTAACACATCGGGAGAACCATTTAACTTTGACAGCTTTGCCATGTATTAATAAAGGCTTCTTATATTTCCTCAAAGATGGAGCAGCCAGGATTATTTTTGCTCTGGGGGTTGTTTATATTTTTGGGATGCACATGGATTACATTACATTTACAACACTTACTGCAACATTCTTTCTTTGCATCTAAAATTACCTTTCGGCAAATAGGTGCAACATTTAAATCCACATTATACAAGTTATTATCGCATATAAACTATAAAAAATTGTGAATATGGCAAGTGATTCAAAACTTTTGAATGCCAGTGTACTTTGTATCTACACTCATTGGCCATTTTATCAGAAACACAGAACGATATATTCCTTCCAACACAACACACTCTACCTGTGTGTGTCCCCTGTGGAGCTCACCTGAGGCTGTGAGGGTGTGTTGCTGCTCAGTGGGCCTGCCTCCGCCTTTGCAGGAGATGTCGGCACACTCCCGTTGGGCTCAGTGATCAGCAGGGTGCGTCTGACAGGGTGCCTGGGGTCACTCTTTGTCACGCGGAACCTGAAATTAACCCCCAACTTTTAAAGCACTGGTTTGACAGAAAGTCTAATTACACAATTTTCCTATTACCCTAAATATAGTCGACATTTTACTCATTTAGTCTACTTCTTTAGCTTTGCACTGGAAGCTAATGCAGCAGTTTAGCTTCATGGAAATAGCACATTTATACATCTTCACTTACCAAATGCTGTCAAGTTGTTCAGATATCTTAACTAGACAGGATTATGCAGTTTCTGACACTGAATAATGTAATGTTATTTATAGGCTTCAAGATGGCTGCTACTACTTTTGTCCATTTTCTCTTTTAGACAACAGAATCTCTGGCAAGGTAACATGCCTGGATAGCATAACTTGACTAATCAACTACATTTGCAGGAAGGGGAAAACCGCATAAATGTAATTTCTGGTTGAACCACTGCCTTAAAAGAGAATTAGTCAATTATTCTAAATTTCTGCGTAATTCAACCGGCTGGGATGTAAACCAAGCCAACAAAGTGGTTTGATGTGAAATGGTACAGACTTGGAAAAAACAATTTCTGTACAGTGGTGGCACTAGAAACTGGGGTCGTGATGCTTAAAACACAAACATAGCCATTTTATTTACTATACGAAATGAACAGTGAACCTACACATGTCCTGAGTTTTAGATGTAATACAGATAACAATAAAAGTTTTCTTTGGGCTCTGTTTTGCCTTAAAATGCCCTGCATGTACCTCTCCACCAAGAATGGAATTTAAGAAACACATTTTGGGCAAAATCCTCATATTAAAACTATGGTAAAACTCAGGCAGTGTATACATAACTATTTTGTATAATAATGTTCTGTGATATGGTGCATTACAGGCATTAAACACTTCAGAGGTCTAGTTCCTATCACTACCACTGTGAACAATTCTCAAGAAAGGAGCATTTTGCATCAAACCATTCTGAATGATTTTTTTTTTTACTTTACACATCTTAACCACTTAATTATACAGAAAAGTTGGAAAACCTGCAGAATTCCCCTTGAAGTCTTATTAAAAACCATTTGAGCTTAAAACCATTAGAGGCTCCAGTAATATACCGATTTACAAACACAGAAGTATACATATAAATATATATTCACTTCACAAATAGTAATTAAATGAGGGAAATTCATTTAGATGTGCATTTGCACCCACTCATCCACACCCACTCAAGCTGGTCAGACTGATATAAATTCTCATTTATCTGAATGGACAAATGAAAAGTGTTCAACTAGCACTCAAAGCACATACTCTCCAGCAGAGAACACAGAAGCATAAATGATATGATGTCATTTAAAGAGAAGAAAAAGCCTTGAATGTGCATGTTTGCAGATACAACTATCACAATGAAAGGTAAAACAAAAACATATTGTGCTCCACAATATTACAATATTTATTATGTGATTTCTTTTAAAGATTTTCATGAACTCAATGTTGCAAAGCCTACATGTCTATATTATAACTGCTTTCTGAATTGGATGGGGCTAGAAAACAGCATGTAAAAGTGAATTATGACTGTTGTTGGTACAAAAACCTACACAAACATAAGTGAACCTCAGGAGAGAATAATAAAACACAAGAAAAATGAAATATATGGGTCCTTTAAAAGGTTGTCCAGTCAGGTTTATGCACGCACATATACTCAGCCAGCACCACAAACACTGCTTAAAATGAGCACAGTCATTTGCATGAGCCTGCTTTCCAGATGCATCCCTACTCACACACACACACACACACACACACACACAAACACACAAATAAACCTCCTCACACGGCGGGAATGGTAATCAAATAAAGGGAATTAATTTCCACGTTCAGGTGAGCATGACCCTGACATACACCCTCATTCATCTGAATGAACAAATCAGAAACAACTCACTTAGTATTCAAAACCCAATCTCAGGGATAACACACACTCCCATGCATTCCCTCCTCTGCAAATACGCCCCCATTAATCCTTTCTCACACACCTGCCCACTGACAGCACAGTGACCTCTCCAACGTGGCTGCGGCGGTCCATCTTCTTGTTGGAGCCACGCCGCATGAGTGGCCATTTCTTGTGGTTGCAGCGGTTGCAGATGTTCTTCTGCCCCCCGATTCCTCCGATGGTGTGCAGGTGGTTACAGGTGTGTTTAGCCGCTGAGGGAGGAGCCCCGGGTGACACTGGGGTTGTGGGCGAGGTGGGGGTCACTGGAGCACTAGAGTAATATCAAACATAAACAGAAAAAAGGGACAAAAAATTAGGAATTAAGAAAATGAGAAGGAGACTTAGAGGAAAGAGCAGCCAGACTAGCCACAAGATATAAACAATACTAGAAGCAACAGCAACAAAGATGCTTTGGCCATTGCATTTACTGATGCCTTTGATGTATTTATTGTTCATATTTACTTTATTAAAGTAATAGTTTGACAAAATATCAAATTTAAATCTAAAATATAGTCAATGAAATGGCTGCTACTACTGTTTTTAGCTATATAACATATATTTGTTACTTTTCGAAAAAAACAGTAGTAAAGATTCAATATCAGAAACCACATAAGCAAGTCTACTTAATATTACTCACCAATTTTATGTGCTTTGAATTAATTGCATGTGGTTTAGGCACGTAGTTTGCATGATGCTTACTAGTGGACATAAGTTTCATTGCTTGTTAGCTACATCAGTCTTGTAAAACCAACGCAAACCCTAAAGAAGTAAAATTCAGACACCAAACATGTCTTCGCTGATGACATCTGGGATAAGGGGGAACTTCAGGAACTTTCATTTCAATAACCGTCCATTTAGAAAATCCTCTGTATGGTTTAATATCGTTTAATATCCTGTGTTAGGACATTGTTTGGAGAGTAGCATAAGTCGATATTTAAGACTCTTCAGTTTCTCTCCCCTTCTCTCCATCTGCTAACAGTTAAGTGGAGATGCTGTGCTGTCGCTCTGCTGACTATCTGAGGAAAACACACCATGTTAAAATACACTACAAGACACTGCTGCATGTGAGCATATGTGTAATAGGTCCTCCTTGCATGGCAATATTTGGTCAGGAATATGTTGAGTAAACAACCACCTGCAGAAGCTGTGTGTGTGTGAGAGAGAGAGAGAGAGAGAGAGAGAGAGAGAGAGAGAGAGAGAGAGAGAGAGAGAGAGAGACAGCGCGTGAGAGGGAGAGGGAGGGCGCTATATACTTCCTGACACACTTGCACAACAGTGGGCAGGGGTAGGTGTGAGTCTTGAGGGTGTAAAGAGAACAGTAAGCCTCGAGAAAATGAACAACTCAGAATTCAAATATAAACAAACACTCTACATTACCTGTGAAAGTTTTGAAAACTCTTTGTCTTTTCAAGACTTGCCTACTTTATACCAATGCTGGTTTTCTCTACATCCTCATCCTTCCACGGCTCACTGTAAGCTTCTGACATCGTAAATCATGACATTTATTTTAAGATTTTAATCCTCAGGTATGACTGCCTTAGCTCTTGATTGGTTTCTGTCCAATCTAACTAACAGGCAACACTTAATTCTCTACACATATATACAAGTCATCCACTGCTCTGGTCTCTTAGATTACATCATTCACAGTCATGGTCTTGCACTTCACTGTTATGCTGATGACGTTCAGATTTACATTAGAACTGCATCTCCCACGGTTTCATCCCAGTCACTGAGTGCATGTATCAGAGATTTAAAACACTAGTTGCATAATTTCTTGAGTGTAGACAAAACTGAAGTTCTGTTAGTAGGCCCTAAACTTTGGCTTCACCTATGATTCATCACTTTTGAGCCCCATATTAGGTCAATCAAAAAGACTGCATTTAGTCATCTGTGACGTACAGCACGTCTCCGCCCTCTGCTCCACAGAAGTGACGCAGAAAGGCTGGTTAATGCTTTCAATCTCTCCCGCACTGAGTACTGCAACTGCTAAGGTTTGAGTGCTGATAAGTCACTTCACAGCAAGAAGATAAAATGTGAGGCATTTTTCACAAGGTAGTACTGTCACATACAGTGTTGTGAAAAAGTATGTACCTCCTTCCCAATTTGTTCTATTTTTGCATATTTGTCAAACCTGAATGTTTCAGATCATCAGACTACTTTTAATATTAGACAAAGATAACCCAAGTAAACATAAAATGTTTTTAATGTATGATTTCATTTATTGAATGAAAAATGCTCTTAGGCCCTACCTGGTCCTATGTGAAAAAATAATTGCTCCTTTAGGTACTAAATCAAACAGTTAACCAAATTCAATTGATTATTGGGTTAAATTTCACTAGCCACACCCAGGCATGACTACTGCCAGACCTGCTGAATCTAAACATCACTTAAATAGAACCTGTCTGGCAATGTGAAGCAGGCTAGAAGATCTCAAAAAGCAGCACATTCTAAAGTGATTCAAACACAGATCCGAAACAAAGTCAGTGAAATCTTACAGTCTGGAAAGGGTTACAAAGCCATTGTTACGGCTCTGACACTCCATCCAACCAAAGTGACAGCCATTATCCATAAATGGAGAAAACATGGAACAGTGGAGAAGCTTCCCAGGAGTGGCTGTGTAACCAAAACTTCACCAAAAGGGCATCGGCCCCCAAGACTTTTGGGATAATATTCTGTGGACTGATGAGTGAAAAGTGGAACTTTTTGGAAGACATGGTTCCTGTTACATCTGGTGTAAAGCAAACACCACATTCCACCATAAGAACATCATACCAACAGTCAAACATGGTGGTGGTAGTGTGATGATCTGGTAAAAGACTATAACAAGTTATCACAAGCGTTTGATTGCAGTTGTTATTACTAAGTTTAGGGAGGCACTTAATTCTTTGCATGGGTGATATAGGTTTTGAATAAATTAAATGATCATTTAAAAGCTGCATTTTGTGTTTTCATGTGTCGTCTTTATCTTATATTAAAATTAGTTGGAGGATCTGAGACATTTGTGACAAATAAGCAAAAGTAGAAGAAATTGGGTGAGGGGCAAATACGTTTTGACAGCACTGTATTTTCTCTTCAAAATATATATAGTTTTTAACATATTAAGTTATTACAAATGACAAAGAAAACATGCTCATTTAGCTATTAGAAGCATTCATAGCTATGTGTCCCAGGCGTGTCTTTTGCACGGGCTTGAATACGACTTGCACATTGGGCAAAATAACGCCACAAAGAAGGTGTATCCACTTTTCCTTGATGTAAAGCATCCAGAAAGATCCAACCCTATGCCCAACAACAGACTCTCTCTCTCTCTCTCTAACCCATCAATCAACTCTAGCCCAACCCCTCTGCCCCGCCTCCATCTGGCTGTGGCTCCCTGACTCCACCCTGCTACCTCTCTAAGTGTTCCTCTGGCTCTCCGCCAACAGCCAGGCAGGAAACGAGAGCGGTCTGCCCAGTGTCGCCGCTCTGAAACACCCATCCTGCAGCTAATCTGTCCCTTCCACTCGTCCATGCACTCTGTTTCTCGCTGTCCCTCATTTGTTCTCTCTCACTGCTCCATACTGTACTAATAATGACATCTTCCATCTTCCCCAATCTGCATGTGTTTATTCGTGGGTATGCATGGGTTTCTTAATGAACCATTTTCGTAAGTCATTCAGAGTGGTTATGTGAAATGCTACATTCTATCAAAACACTTACAGTGGTGACAGAAGCCAGACTATTTATTTATTTTAAACAGTAAATAAAATTGCTATATTTGTATGACAGACATTGCAACTACTGGTTCCTATCACCACTACTTTAAAAAAATTACAGTTGCTAAGTTTCACATTAAACTACTCTGAATGATTCTATTTACATCTAAACCATTGAATTATTCAGAAAGTTTGAAAATAGGTGGAATTCCCCTTTAAAACCGTATCTTCTTCAGATTCCGCGCAAGCCTTTCCTTCCTCACCTAGCTTATTTTTGTTTTTGCCTTTCTTTCTCCTCTAAAATTTCCTTCCCTTCCACCACACTCTTATACACCTGCATTCACTCCTCAAGGACGCACAGGCTCACTCTTGCACTTTGCTTGAGAATGGAGGTCAAGAAAAGAAAGACCTTGATGCGTTGGCCAACTCACACAGAGCCCACAAGTCTATTGAAAAATATCTGAAAGAGCATCAAGGCTGAAGGATCTTAAGGAGAAACAGAAATCATTTCTCCGCATCTGTTTGTGAGACTGTCAAGAGCGGTCTCTAAGGCCATATGCAAGGATGATTCGGTTTCAGACTGACATGCAATGGATGGAAATGAGCAGTTGTATAATATGAGCGGGTGATGCAAGCCATCACAATGCATGATGACTGACTTGAAAATATCCATGCATGAGCCAGTTCTGCCCGTGTTGTTTTGCATTTAGAGAAGGGAAAACAATGTAGAAAGATCTTGAACAATGCTGGCCCAACTCAAACTTTAGTTCCTACACCAATTTTCAAAGTTATTCATTCTTTTGTCTGCATGTTAATCTCATGCTTAGAGTATTAACCCATTCAATTGCAAGGGCTCATATGTAGGCCCGATTCCTCACTCTCATAACTATAACTTACGTATTATTTTCATGGTAGTTACAAAATATTTGAAACTGAATAAGGCCTGGAGTTTAAAGGGTTAAAATCTTTTTACTTAAAGTAAGAAGGGTTAAATGTTTTCAGACTGAAGAGTTTTAAAGAGAATGTAGTTTTCAAGTCAGCATAAAAACTCTAGTCTAACTCTAACCAGTTTAACACTTACAATAACCATATCCATTATTATACAGCAAAATCAGAAACCCAAAATGATTTGCTTCCTTCCAAGCTGTTGCTATTTTAAAGGTTACATTGCCACCTTGTGGCCACAAGAATTATCGCCTAGAAAATGAGCATGTTTTGCATAACAATGAAACGTCTTCCATTCAATACTGATAAATGAACTCCTATGGCTAAAACACGCTATTGCTTTTCTCCATTACCACCAGGAAGTATATGTTCAAAGAGGTTTTAAGTACATATTGTGTTGATGCATGCAATGCCATCTTACCCGTCAGAGTCTATACTGTTCTCGGTCACCATGGCCTTCAGGGCATCTGTGTTAGCTGAGGAGAGAAAGAGAGACAGACAATTGATACTGCAAACAAATAGTTTAATAAGTCTGTGGTACATTTGACAAAGAACTGCTTCTAAACCTGGGGAAACAAGGGCTGCTCCAAAAGAGAAAATGTTTAATGAAATAGTTGTGCTCCTGATTCGCCCCTAACACAATTAAGCTGGGTACTGCTTGCAATTATAATGAGAACAAAGAAACCTCAAGCAATTTACTGCCTTTATACAAATGAATGCAGCCAGAAGCACTTCTATTTGGGGATAATGTGGCATTTAACAGCTGAGGTTATGACACCAGTACCAGTATAGTTAAAAAAAATAAAAAAGATTCAGTATAGCAGGGGCTGCGACTTGTCCAGGCCAATAATAAAGTCAGATTTCAGGGTTTATTTTTAGGATGAAGACAACAACTATGGACAATTGAATCAAGAGATGGAAAAACATCTCTGAAAAGAACAGCTAAACCCTGAACAGCTCACATGAAGTCATCTTCAAAGGATGAGAATAGCACAGTAATTGAGCAAGCAAGGCTAAAAAGGTGACCCATCTTTCACAACACTTTCATTTCCCTTTGTTCACCCAGAAGAACACCATTACTCACGCCAGCAGAAGGCTGGCATCTTTTTGAGTGTGTTTATATCTAGTGAGGCCAGTGAATAGACAAAATGAGCCTACGTGTGAAAAGGGTATTATTTGAAAGCAGGGAAATGCATGGGAGTTTCTCATGAAGGTTTCGGTTCAACTGCGTAGGTGAGAAACTGGACGAGGCTGTGAAAAGATCAAACTGACGTGACTGACGCTGGCACACAAAGGCAGGCGGCTAACACACTTCCTGTCTAAAACTCACGAGATCTTTCTGGTTTCACAAATACAGAAAAAAAAAAGAATAAAAAAAGAGAAATAAAGAGAAGCAGAAAGGGAAACTTTTTTTCCTGATCTAAACTACACCATTGAACAGATGAAAAAAGGGAGACAAAGGATTTACTCTCTAGCATCTAGGGCTCGATTTGAGGAGGGATACAAGGAGAGGAAACTCCTCCTGGTCACACAAACAAAAACAAAATGAAAAAATAGTAGAAAAATCATTCCACTTGTACAATTACCATCTCTACATTCCACAATATATGTATTAATGTAGAATTATATATGTGTGACATCACCTATGACATTTAATATTATTATTTTAACTGTATCTATATTGGAAATTAAGGTCTTTATGCAATGAAAAAAAAATCACTGCAAGTTTGTCAGAAGCTTGGTTGTAGCTGATAAACTAAAACAGATTCCAAAACTGGTATTAAAACAAATATGGTAAATAAACATAAATGATTGCATGTCTGAAAAGGCTTAGAAGGAAACTGTATTTTGTTTAATAGATTTTGTGAACATAATAAGGGCAAGAAGTAGTTGTTGGTAATATGACAATGTTAAATTGTTACTAAATCTTTTCTGAGCCTATTGTGGATATCGTCTGTACTTTGAAAACACTGACCAATTGCATTTTTCATTACAGTGAGAGCATAATTAGTCCTGTTTTATTGGTTTTCTGTAGCACTGCTCCACTTTATCAAACCGCAGAAAAAACAAAATATCACGATACACATTGTGTTTTGTAGAAATGCCACCAAATGTTGTGATTTTTGCCATAACGCCCACCCCTAGCAAGAGTCATGTCACCATTTTGCTCCAAGTTCATGTACCTAGTCATTCTAAAGTGTATCTTGCTATAGGTAATCCAGGCTTTAACCAAATAAAATCATTTTTAAATGAACAGCATCCAAGTGTAGCATGACTAGACTGCTGTTGCTGGGTGGAGAGGTGAGGCAGCAACACACTGTCATTGATCATTATGAGTTTGGTCAGAATGTGATGGAGCGTGAACAGACCTCTGCTGATCCTAACTCCGTGAATAACAGCCAGAGTGACGCGGGAAACACGAGAGCTCTGTGCATGTGTGTGTGTGACCTGCTTTGACGTCAGCCTTTGTAAGCATGTCCTCATCTTTCCTAAAACTACCTTGCTCAGAGGTCAGTGTGAGCAAGAAGCAAGACGTTTAACCCACTGTGACCAAGGTTAAATGTGAAACTCCAACTTCCTCCTCAGGTCACTAAAACAACCGCTTTCTGTAGTGAATAACATGTAACCCCTGTGATTTGTGCTGAACAGACAGTAATGCCATGTAGAACACAGAACATGACATTTGTCCTGTTATTATTTTGTCAATAGGAGACACTTATGGTCATGGTGGGTATTACCAGTGGCTGAATTGTGAAACATTTTCAAGGTGTTAAAAGGTTCAGAAAGGGTAACGCTTTCATTTACAGTCCCTTAAGTTGTAGGTACAAACCAGGTAAATCTGAGGTACAAACTCCAAAGCACTAGGTAATTTTGATGGTGAGGTTTCAAGAGAGTTTAAATAAATTACACTGAAATGCCAAACAGGTTTTTGTTGTTAACCGGTACAGTGGTACAAACTCCACTATACTGTGTAATTATTTTGACTAAAAAGTACCGGGTAGTTATATGACATAATCATATCATTTCAGTCCTAATCACTTTTTATATTGCCATATATGTAGGTACCTAGGTAAAAAGAGAGTATTAATAGAACTCTAGTCAAGTAACCAATGTAGATTAATCATAGCTTCAGCTTATCTTACAGTAAGCCTGAGAAATCAGTCTTCCAACCTTTAAACACTGACCAATACACTGAATGTTTGACTAAGATCACAATAATAACTTGCATGCTGGATGGGATACAGACCTTAGGATACAACTGGCAGACTAGCGTTTGCTTCATAGCATTCAGTTTTTAATGTGTGATTCCCTCAATTTCAAGTTTTGAAAAATCTAGTTTCACATTTAAAGATGCACTCAATTCAGTACGTCTAAAGTGCGATTTAAAAAAAGCAACTGAAACTTTTAAAAAGTGCCATTATATAAATCATGTTATGAGGATTAAAAAAGAGTAAATGCGTTTAGGTCTCAGCATGGTTAATTGCTCAGAGCTCCTTCTGTGCTGAGAATCTACCACATTCAAACCTCCATCACTGGTGTAGCTGCAGAACAACAGAATAATTCAGCGAAACGTGCACTCATTCATTCACACACTCCTACCTTCATTTTTCATGATGTAGTGAACGATCTGGCCCACAGTGTCCGTGTTGCCCTCGCTGTAGGTGTCATTCAGTTCTAGACGCAGAGAGAATGAAGGAGAGAGAGAAGATATTCAGAATCAAGCCAGAAATGCTGATCAATTTGAGATGAATCAATCAGCTAGGTTTCATGAGTTAGTGTGAAGCAGTATGTCATCTTAGAAGATAAACAGAAGCCATCGACCAAAGTTCTGACAGTCAGAGACTTCAGCTTTGTTGCCTTTTGATCATTAAAATCAGCCCTCAGAGAAGTTACAGTGTGCATTTCATGTTGGGCAGTGAAATGTGCCATCATGCAGAATTGGAGTTTTCTGTGTGCTACAGTTTCCTATCGCTGTATAAAGACACACCATGCTGGCTCTTTGAATACACTGTGATAGTTTGTTTAAGTGTTTAGTAGGGAGGCACCAATCATGAATGTTAAAGGCCAATTCTAATACCGAATTCTTCACAGTCAAATTGGCTGTTGGGTGATTTTTTTTTTTAATCAAAGCTCACACTGTGCAGGCAAAATGAACAGATAAAACACATTTCTAGTACCTTTTATTAATAAAATTTGCAATATAAAATGACATTATTTGCCCTTTAATGGTCCAAACTGGTGTTTAAATGGCATTTAATTCTTAAACGAAAAATCAGTTGCCTAAGCAATTGACGCGAATAAAATGAAGTGCAAAAAAGCAAAAGGCAAATGGCTATTTACCACATTTAATCATGCATAATTATGCTACAACATGGTGGTGAAGGTAGGGCTGTCATGATCATGACATTTCAGCTGAAGCCTAAATAACTGTGATTGATTGTCTTTCTTGTTCATTGTACATAACTATGAATGTAGAAGCCTATAGTGACTAAACTGGCTGCTTAGCCATCTTACTTACTAACTGCTTCCTTAGCTAAAACTGGTAAGTCAGGTCAAAGGTTACTTGTATCATTTTCACCAGGTGTTGTCACAAAGCAGCTTTACAGAAAATCTGGGTCCAAGCCCCAACAAGGAAGACAAAGGTGACAGTGGCACAGAAAAACTCCCTAAGAGCAAGAGGAAGAAACCTTGAGAGGAATTCAAAAGGGGAACCCATCCTCCTCTGGTCGATACCAGATGGCAAAACAAAAACACAGGAGCAAAATGAACAGAGGATAAGATTTTACAGGTAAAAATGACATACTACATTGTTGTGTACCCACACTCACACAAATGTGGACAGCTACACACAATCATGTGTCAAAGTCAAAGCTTATATTTTTTCTTGAGAGCACAAACATAAGCAAAAAAAACCCCACTCATTCTTTACACACTAAAATCGTTCAAATGAGCTACATAGCTAATAAACAAACAAACAAACAAACAAACATTACTCAGTGCTGCCCTCTAAACATTAGAGCACCAGGTTAGAAGTCACAACTTTTTTTTGTTGTTGTCATAAATTCCATGATGCATCTTTATGAACACATTTACTGCTTTCTTTATCTGACTCATCCCAATATACCCACAGTTAGTTTGCTGCAGAATATGATGATTGTGAAATCTAACAATTGGAAAATCAGCTTAAATAACTGTGATAATCTCAAATAATTGTGATTAGACAATCATTTAACAATTGTGGCACGCCTAGGTATAGGTGTAGCAGCAGCATTCAAATACTGCTGAGTCACATTTATGTCATAAATTGCAACACAGATCGGCCAAAATCAAAATAATACACTAGTCAACTGTCAATCAAGTGTTTGGAACAAATATGTGATTTCAACTGTGCATCTCTAGTGCAAAGTATACTATTTATACATTCACTTCCTTAAAGTAGTTTATGACAGAAGCAAAATCAAAATGCACACATTTTTAGCTTTGCTGCATCATGTTCTTTACATATAAAAATAAACGACAACAGCCCTGATTATGTTCTTAATGAAGAGGAGTAGATGAAGGGCAGAAACAGACAGACGCTTTCTTGTGTCCGCATTAAATGGTTACATATCTAAATCCTTGTTTTGATATAAAATGAAAAAAAGTAGTTTCCAGTAGTTGAATAACTGTACATCTTAATGTGATGTCTACATAATACACCTGGCTGGCCACGTGTGCTGTTTTCAGGAGCTGCTCTCGAACACTGAGGAGCTAAGTTGATATTCCAGGAATAAAAGTACTTCTGACTGTTGTAGCACTGCAGAAAACATAACACACTCTTTCTCACACTCAAAAAGGATTCTAAAAGTACTCTCAGGGCTGCTGCACAACTTGTAAAATCAAATTCAGTGCTTTCTAAGACTCACACAGCACAAATAACACCACATAACAGCACACACAAACGCAAATACAGCATGTGTTAACGTCTTATTTTGTTCAAGACAGTTGAAGAAGAATACGCTTTGAGATTGCATGATCCTTACACAGTCTTCTCAGTGTGTTTGACTTTTTGATTTAATTTTGCGGTCCTCTAGTCCTTCATCAGAGGACAGTTTCTGTGTATTGTTCAACATATAAAATGACCTTTTCTTTATAAACTAAAAACTTGACTTAACTTTAATGAGGGATGTTCCAACTCGTTCCATTTCCATCCAATCAAAGTCAGCTCTGTTAGATCATCTATTAAGCATTCAACTTTTTCACCTCACAAGCAAATAGTCTTGTAACGTTTACGTGTGTACTTTATAGACTGATAACAAATCTAATCATATGGCATCATTAGCACAGAGCAAATTGAGGAAAACACTGCGCTTTCTAGTAAATGCTCTTTTACTTTGAACAGGCACTTCAACAGAGGCAGAGAAACGCCCGGCCCAGCATTCACAACAACATGTTCCTTTTAACTTGGAGCATGGTGCGCTCCGAGAGCCACTTTGCACAGCCACACCCCCTAAACTCCTCACAAAGAGCAGAGCCCAAGGCAGACACCACAATACCATGCTAAATTAAATCCCTCCACGTAAAACGAAATACTCTTCAACTTAATCATCAAGCACTCTGTAGTAACTGAGATCTAGTAAAAGATGATTCATGGCTTATGACACTCACACTTGCTTAGTAGTTTTGTGTGTGTGTGTGTGTAAATTTGTCATTTAGTCTGTCACATGCTAGTCTGCTTAACAAGGACATAGACTGTCCTACTGATTATTGTAGATAGATAAATTTATGACAATTAGATAAAATACAGTATTGCATTCACACAGAAGTTACAAGAATTTAAAATGATTGAGGATGAAAACACAAAGCTCACAGACTCTTTTCTATTGTGGTCCTCATAAAAGATACAAGATGACAGCTTGTAATAGTCAGACAAGAACAGTGAGTGAAAACTGATATAAGTAATACCAGTACATAATATCACACATTTAGGAGCCATTTTTTCAAAACACATTTAAAGCTCCCCTTAACTTTTTTTTGTTTTAATTTTTAGGAAGTCTGTTCCACATTTGTGGCCATCCATCTAGCTGCATAGTTGTGAAGATCTCTTTCAGTGTTAGAAAGGCTAGGTAGGTAGTTTGGTACTAATTTATTAAGAATTTTACGAGGAAATCTAAACTTCATTTCATTTACTTTTTTCTCTACCTGAAGAAGGTTGAGTTGTTTAAAATGATCTGCTTCCAAATGTGCACAAGGAGATATTTTCAGTACAACACTAATCGACTTATTTTGTGCCATCAATAATCTATTCTTAATAAATTTAGAAGAATGGCTACATTAGAAATTGGCTGCATAATCAAAATGGCCTTACATTAATGCCCCAGCCAACATTCTTAAAGTTGACACATTTAGCAGTCCAATTTTAATGAATGCTTTGTGAGCCACTGCATCCCCTGATAACTGATTATCTCAAACACAACTAATAATAAATAATAAATAAATAATAAATAATTCACTGCTGATTTGTTAGAAACTGGAACCTTTACTGTAAAACCCACTGAATTCTTATGCCTACCTCGAGAGCCAAGCAGGATTGCCTCTGCTTTCCCTGAATGAAGAGACAGTTTGTCAGCCAATCAAGTAGAAGGTTTTTAAAGCTCAATACTTAATCTAGTTTCTACCCCAGTTTTACCTTAATGAGACACTACAAATGCAGCAGCATCAGCACAAAGAAAAAGGTTGCATGAACGAGACATTTTCAAATCATTAATATACAAAAAATACATAAATAAATAAATAAATAAATGCTCAAGAACACTTCCCTGAGGCACTCCACATGCAATATCCCTGAAATTTGAACGTTTCTATTTATTTCTACCCTTTAAGTGTGTTAAATATTATCACGCAGGAAGAACTTAATGGCCATCTCCCTAAAATCTATAGCTTTTAATTTACATAGCAAAATGCTGTGATCTACAGTATCAAAGTCCAACATAACCATACCACAGAAATGCCCTGTCCTCCTTCCTAATAATATTAGTCAAATACAACAGACAAGTTTCTGTGGAACGGAATCTTCTGAATCCAGACTCTAGCCCGAGACTGCAGACCATACAACATACTATGGCTTGTGATGAATTCTTCAATCTGCTCATAAATGATCGTCTCCATAACCTCGGACAAAATACACAAAACGTAGACTGATCTATAATTCCCTCCTTCTAGCTTACTTCCCTTTTTAAAAAGAGGAACAATTCACGCAATCTTAAATTCCTTTGAGACCTTTCCCAAATTAATAATATGGGTAAGACACAGTGTTATTGCTTTTGCAGAATCTTGAAGAAACCTAGCAGGAATCTCATGTAAACCAGTTGCTTAACTGGGTCTATTCCATCATATATTCATAGATTTTTACACCCCATGCATGACTCGCACATACACTGTCTGACTGACGTACACACAAACACGCCCACACACACACTCCACCATGTCCTTCCTATTAAAGTGATGACCCCTACTGAGCAGGAAATGTTTGAACATTTTTCATTAAATTCCTTATAAGCAACAGGACTGACAGGCTGGTCTAGCTGAGCCATCACTAGAACCTCAGCAAGACGTCATGGAAGAGCTCACTGAAACCACACTACCTATTTTAAGTCACTAGCCATCATAAAATGAACCAGGCCTAACTTCACTTC